GCCCCCCACTTCCATCCTTGCCCACCATGGGGATGGAGCAGCTGGCGAGGGGCTGAAGCTAAACTGGTGCTGTACTGGGAGCTGCTGGGCTGGAGCTGGGAGGGTTGGTGCTGGCCATACTGGGGACTGGTAGCACTGAGAGGGGAGGGACTGGTCCCACTACGGCCCCGCTGGAGGTTCTGGGAGAGGGAACTGGTCCCAGTAGGGCCCCTCCTTCCACACCCATCCCATGCCCCCAATAAAGATGGCGGCGCCCATGAGCAGCATGGCGGCGCCCACTGGGGTAAAGTCAAGTCCCGCCCTCTCTTCGGCACCGTACTGCAAGGCTGGGCCGGTGCCTTAAGCTCCTCCCCCTGCTCAGGATTGGCTGATAGAAGTATGGAGGAATCCGGAAAGAGCCGAAGCCTTCCGGAAAGAGCCGATTTTGGGGGGGAGGTGGCCGGGGAGACTTCCGGAAACAGCCGACGCTTACCGGTGAGACACGAAGGGAGAGGGGAGGAGAGTGCGCTGCCGGAAAGAGCCGAGGTATTCCGGAAAGAGCCGAAAGCTCTCCGAAGGGTAGCCGAAGGCGGCCAGCCCGCTCTCCTTTCGGAGAAACCCGACGCCCCTCTCCGGAAAGAGCCGAACCCGCGGTACTTCCGGAAAGAGCCGACGCTGCTCGGGGAAGAGCTCGGCAGCACTCGGCGCTTTCCGGAGAGAGCCGAGGCGGGGCGGAACGCATCGAACCCACCCCCTTTCCGGAAGAACCCGAGGCGCCTCCGGAAAGAGCCGAAAAGCTTTTCCGCAAAGAGCCGAAGCGGCGGGGGAAGACCCCGGAACGAGTCGTTCTCCTTCGGGGGGGCGGAACGCATCGAACCCACCCCCTTTCCGGAAGAACCCGAGGCGCCTCCGGAAAGAGCCGAAAAGCTTTTCCGCAAAGAGCCGAAGCGGCGGGGGAAGACCCCGGAACGAGTCGTTCTCCTTCCGGAAGAAGCCAAAGCGCGTTCGGCGCCCGCCCCCCTCTCCGG